ACTTTTAATGTTCATGGTATCTATAGTGATATTCCCTCTTTCATTTTTTAAATAAAATTAAGAAATTTAATTTTAGCATAAAATTTCTAAAATAAAAATTTGTTATAGTACTAATTTATGTTTTATCACTTTTTTCTCAGTTAGCTTGACTAAAAGTTTATCAATTTTTATTTATCTTTTCAGATAAATCAGGGTTAGCTGATTTTCTGTATTGATTTTTTTGTTTTCAGTTTCATTTCTAATTTTATTATTATTGTTGTTGTTATTTGGTTTAAAATTTTTTGTGGTGTTAATAATCCAACCCAGAACTCATGTATTCGAGGCAAGCATTCTATCACTAAGTCATAGTCCCAGCCTGATTTTTACTTATTTATTTACCTTATTTATTTATTTTTAAAAATTTTTTTGTAGTCATAGACAGACAGAATGTCTTTATTTTGTTTATTTTTATATGGTGTTGAGGATTGAACCCAGTGCCTCACGCATGCTAGGCAAGTGCTCTGCCGCTGAGCTATAGCCCTGGCCCCTGATTTTTAAATAATTTTTTCTTTCTGCTTATGTTGGATTTAGTTTGCTCTTGTTTTTCTAGTTTTCTAAAGTGTAAGCTTACATTACCAATTTTCTAATACGTTAATTCAATGATACAAATTTCCCTGTAAAGTGCTGCTTTTACGGCATCCCRGAAATCTTGATAAATTATTTTCATTTTCATTAGTTCAAAATACTTTTAAATTTCTCTTGAGATTTCTTCTTTGACTCATGAGTTGTTATTAAGGAATGTTTTGTTTAATCTCTCATTATCTGGAGTTTCTCCAGCTATCTTTCTATAAGTGGTTCTTAGCTTGTTTTCACTGTGATCAGAGAGCACAACTATTCTTTTTAAATTGTTAACATGTATTTTATGGCCCAGAATGTGGCCATAAGATATGAAAGGGAGTTTTGACCGAGAATATGTCACCAGGATAACTTGATGAATGTTCCACGTGATCTTGAGAAGAATGTGTGTCTGCTGCTGTTGRATGAAGAACTCTACAGATATCTGTTCTCTCCAGTTGGATGATGATGTTTTCAAGTTCTACTATGTCCTTACTTATTTTTCTGACTGCTGGATCTGTTTCTGACAGAATCATATTAAAGTGTCCAACTATAATAGTGGATTTATGGGTTTCTCCTTTCAGTTTTATAAGTTTTTGCCTCATATTTTGATGCCCTGTTGTTMGGCATATACACATTAAGGATTGTTCTGTCTTCTTGAAAAGTTGATCTCTTTAGCATTATATAATGTCTTTCTTTATCCCTGATTTTTGTTTGCTTTGAAGTTTGCTCTATTTAAAATAAAGAGAACTACTCCTATTTTCTTTTGATTGATGTTAGCATGGTAAATCTTTCTCTATCCCTTTAGTTTTAACCCATGTGTATTTTTATATTTCAAGTGACTTTCTTATAGGTAGCAGATAGTTGCGTGTTATTTTCTGATTCATTGACAATCTATTTTAATTGGTGTATTTAGACCATTGAGGTTTAAAGTGAATTTTTTTTTTTTGGTAGTGGGGATATAACTAGGGGCACTCAACCATGAGCCACATCCCCAGCCCTATTTTGTATTTTTATTTAGAGACAGGGTTTCACTGAGTTACTTAGCCTCACTTTTGCTGAGGATGGCTTTGAGTTTGCAATCCTCCTATCTCAGGCTCCCAAGCTACTGGGTTTACAGGTGTGCCACCRTGCCCTGCAACAAGGATGTTCTTAATAGGTAGGATATTCTAAGGGCTCAGAAATTATTTCCCAGGAGGCAGGAAAGGGTTGAAACTTTCTTTGGACAATTCAGATCTGCTGATGTAGTTTTTTTTTTATCGAACATCATTTTCATGGACTAAAGCAGAAGGAGAACATTAAACCTAGAAAAAGCCTTTGATAGAGTTTAACATCTATTTGTATTTTAAAAAGAAAATCTTCAAGAAAACTAGGAGTAAGAGGAAGCTTCATTAGTTAGAAAAACTGTATCTCAAAACCTCTCAAGAGTCTCAGGAATTTCACCTCAAGGTAGAAAGACCCTGAAGAAAGAAAATAGACATGTTTTTTATCTAGGTACATGGGTATTAGCATAGCAGAGATTTTACCAGAGATTTCAGTTTGGCGAGACTGACTAAAAGCAGAGTCTGAGTCCTACAAGTCAAGGAGGGACCTGGACATGGTATAGAGTAATCCTGGGACTGAGGAGGTTGTGCTTCTCCTGGGAACAAGGAGATGTTCTCAATTGCCCTCCAGATGAGGGGACCATGGATGACGGAGGGATGTCTGTGGGAGAGATGACACCAAGGACACAATGGGCCTCACCTAAAGCTTTGGCCATCTAGGTTCCTAGGAAATTAAGACATATACCAAGGAAAGGGGAGGACCCTGACATATCTGATATTTTCTGTCAAATAAGCATAACAAGGGCTAGACATACAAATTGACTTATAGATGGTGCAGGAGTTAGGATCAGGGGGATGAAGCAGGGCAGGAGGGAGAGTTAAGACAAAGATAGTATCAGGATGCTACCTCTGCAGACATCTGAGAAGTTGTGGTGAATGACCGTCAGGACCATCTGTCTGGGGGAATGGTGAGAACCATGTATCCATTGGCTTTCATTCTCCTTCAGACAAAAGTTCACCCCATAAGATGTTAATTCCCCCACATTTCCAGGGTTACATGTGTGGGCATCAGAGGTTCCAGTGGAGAAGCCCAGGATGAGGTGCTTTCACACAGTATCTATAAGGAGCCAGTTGGAGCCCACACAGAATTGGTCATGACAGAGGTGACTAGCAGACAAGCTGGGAGCCAGAAAGATCTTACGTGGTTCTTGAGAGTTGTCTGCAGTCTAAACAGAAGTGTATGTCATGGTATCAGCTTCCTCTCTAAAAGAGGGGCCTTCACATTTGTGATATAGGATATTCTCTTGCTTTCTAAGATTGGGGAGGAACAAGCCTATTTCCTCAGAGCCCCTTTCATGGCAGAGGCCAGTCTCTATTTGCAAAGAATTGGTGTGAGAGGGTTACTAAAACAGTTTTCTCTGATGTTGCCAGAGTGCTAAGATTAAAATTAGTATCCATCATTCCCTTCCTCCCCCACCTCTCCTAGATTTCCCTCACCCTCTGCCAGTCCTTCAGATTGACCTAAAGTTTTATCCCTGAGTGATAGGACCCCTTAGCTGCCCTTGTCAGGCCATAGTTGCTGCCATTTCCCATTATCTGTGGGTGTGGAAGTTTCAAGAGAAGCCTAGCCAACCTCCTAAATTCCAGATATAGTGCTCCCTAGCTTCATAAAGCAGTCACGGTTGATTATCTATACCAAAAATACCCGTTTCTCTACCTGCTAGTGCACTGGCATGAGGAGCCAGCAATGCCTGGTTCCAATTCAATGGCACTCTTAGTGGAGCAAAATGGTGCCTCTTCCTTCCCTGCCCCTCCCAGAGAACCTGGATCTCTCAGAAAGCAGAACTTAAAGTTGGGTGGGGAGGTAGGGAAGTGGGGTGGGAAGTACACATTCCATGAGTGGGCTTCACTGGAAGTGACAGTAAGAAGTGCTTCCCCTTGGTTTGSAGATCCACCTATGCTAGGTATTTAGAACAGAGCTCTGTTAGAAATCATTGATAAGCCATTAGTTTAGTGCATTTATCTCATGCGGAGGACAGTGTCCCCATCCCTTTGGGTGTTTTGCCCAAGCCGGAGCCTTAGCTGTGCCTTTAACAAGCTATTCCACCATTGTATTAGGCAGCTACTCCTGGATGACTGGTTCCAGTGTCTTCCATGGTCATGTGTCCTTGTTGCATTTTCTTCATAATTAAATTGTTCCCTTGGTCTGAAGCAATTCTGTGTATGTAATCATTACCAGGTTGCTAAGCAAGAGGAGCTTGCCTTTTCCTTTGACAGGGAGTTGGGACTACTTCTGCCACTGTGGAAGTCTCATGGGAATTTGGAAGCAGAGTGTGGACACTGGAACCGGTGGCCATTGGCCAAAGGACCAGTGTGGCGAGGTCTCTTTGTGTGAGCTATGGATTGAGCTTGTGCTGTTTACACTACCCCAGACAGTGAGAACTTGTTCACCCTGTATTAATCCTCAGTGACTAATATTGTTTGCCTGCGGCCCTGGGCTCTGGTCCTTGTCCTCAAAGTGCTCACAGGCTTACAAAGATTGGCAAACAGTAACGATCCGGGTGAACATTGCTGTGGTAGAGGTAAACCCAGGTCATTACGGAAGCAAAAGAGCAAATGAAGTCCAGGGAGGCGAAGGCGGCCTTCCCTAGGAGAAGGAAGTGGTCCTCCAAGTCTGAGGGCTGTGTAGGTGGTAACCAGACAGAGGCAGGAGGCAGGGCAAAACGTTTCTCATTAGGATTACTCAGTGCTGGCCCTGCCTTATTCGAGGTGGCGTCCGTGTGCCTGGAGGTACACWGGTCAGTGAGGCCCAACCCTACCTGTCCTCTCTGAGAATCTCGTCCCCTAAGGGACTTAGGCGCKAGAGAAGGCACAAACCCCCACTTTCTGAGTGTGTTCACCCGAACAGGGTCATCCTACCCTCGATCACTCATTCAGAAACTTGGAATGTACTTGACTCATCACTCCCTCACTGGTTAAATTTTTATGGCGAAAGAAACCAGGGAATGGTGACGTGGGTGACCTACTTTTTCTTTTCGCAATCATCTTTTATTGCCCCATTTTGTATTGACATAAGGAAAGAGGTATAAAGGAACTGTAGRAAAACTCCGAACTCTTGAGAATTCTCCCTCCCCCAGCAGCGAGCTGAGCGCAGGTGGACCCATTCAACCACCCCTCCGCCGCCTCGCCCCGGTTGCTCCTGTCTCTTTAAGGTTCACCCTCGGGAGCGACTGGAGAGAGACTCGACTCTGCGCACCAGCCGGCTGAGGTCTTGGGAGTATCTTCCGGGTGCTGCTGCCTCTTTAAGAGGGCGGGGCTCTGCCCGGAGGAGGCGAAGAAGTCCCTCCCTCCGGATCTCCGGCTTCCGGCAACTCAGCTGGACCGAAACCCGCGCGGAGCGTCTCAGGCCCGATCCTTCTCGGGACCGCTGGGCGCCGAGACCCGCGAGGTGAGGCGGCCCTGTCTGCGAGGCCAGTTCGGGGCCGAGGGGTCCCGGCATCTCCTGCCTGCCGCGGCCGCGCCGCTCTCTCCCTAAACCTGTCTCTGCTTCGCCTTGTCCCTGGCTGCAGGGTCGCCAACACTCCAGCGCCTACTAATTGCAGGTTCTGCGCTAAGCGCCKTATACGCACTGACTCACCTAATGGCCCCCACACTGTGTGCGTGGGCATCATTATGAACCCATTTTACAGATGAGGAAGCTGAGGCCCCGAAGAGTGTACACACAGCAGAGAAGCAACAGAATCGGAAATCAAACCCAGGTCTGTCTGACCCCAGAGCCTGTGCCCTTAACCACTGGCTAGGCTGAACTGCCCTTGTTCCCCATCACCCCTCTGAAATCTCAGCCTCCCCTTCCTCATCCTTTCATCTCCAGGCTGCACCTAGTCCCCGAAACATTCACACAGTGACTGAGATTGGATGGAATTTTTGGACCCCCAGCATTAGTTTCAATAAGTTTTAGTAATACCTATACTTAGTGTCTATATAAACCTATTCAACCCCATTGAAAAAGGAGGCAAGGAAAAGCAGTACTGTTTCTAATGCTGAACTGTGTTTTGTTTAGATGTTTTGTTATTCTATTAAGTGTACTTTTTTTTTTTCCTTTTAGACCTCTGTAAATTTTCTTCCACATAGTTGGGAGAAGACCCACGGGCTGAATGGCAGCTGTGGATGACTTGCAGTTTGAAGGTACAGCTGTTGGTGACCTGCTTTATCTTTATGATCACTATTTCTGTACTCACAGCTATGAATTTTCATTGCTATACTGGGTTGTASATTAAAAAGTATTATTTCAAACATCTTGGTAGGAGACTTTTCCACACCCAAGTTTTTCCTGTTTGACCACACTAGGTGTTCCTTTTTTTCCAAATGACCCTTTGGATTGGCAACAGGTATTGTAAATTTGGTATAGTGGTTGCTTAGTGTTTTATAAACACTTATATAGCACTTGGATGCCAGATACTGTTCTAAATGCCTTAAAATGCTGACTTGCTTAATCCCCTACATTAAATTTAATTTTGCAACTATAAAATAGTTATATTATTCTTCCTATTTTTCCAGTGGGGAAACTGAGGCACAGAAAAATCAAGTAATTTATCTGAAGTTCTCAAAGTAAACTAGAAAGCCAGGATTTGAACCCAGGCAGTCTGGCATCACAGACTCTACTATCTGAGGAAGAAATAGGGTGTTTAAAAGAGAAATATACTTCTTTGTGGTATGAAGTTTTATTCAGCCATAAAGCAAAATAAGCCAAACTCAGAAAGTCAAGTTTCATATGTTTTCTCTCATATGAGGAAGATAGTGAGAAAAAAGGAAAAGAAAGCAGGGTTTGGAGGTCTCTTGAAAATCCAAGGGAAATCAGTAAAGGGACCAGGGCATGGGAGAAAGGAAGGGAAAGGGGAAATATTAGGGAATGATAGTGGCCAAATTATATTGTTGTATTGTATACATGAATATACATATGCACCCCCAAATCTCACCATTGTGTACAATTATAATGCACCAATAAAAATTTGGAAAAAAATCCATTTCTTTGGCAAATACTGTCATCTCTATAATACATCTAGTGTCTGACCACTTCTTGCCACCTCCACCACTACTCCCACCATTCAAGGTCACCATTACCTTTTGTCTGAATTAGAGCCCTTACCTACCTTCTGGTTTCCCCTCTACGGTCTAATTTTTGCAGCCAGAATAGTCCTTTTTTCCTCTCCCTGCAGTGCTAGCGGTCAAACCCAGGGCCTTGCTCATGCTAGGTGAGCACTCTGCCAGTGAACCATAACCTTAGTAGTCCTTTCAAAACTAAGTCTGATCATGTCATCTTTTCAGAACCTTTCAGTAACTCCCAATTCACTAGGAGTGAGATACAGAGCCTGTTCTGTGACTCAGGAGACCCCCCATGATCCAGCCTCTGATTTTGTCTCCTGCTGCTCTTGTCTTTTCTTACTCTGCCAGATGGACCTTGTCATTGTTCCTCTTACACACTTAGAACAGTCACTGCTTAGGGCTTTTGTGCCATCTTTCTGTTTGAAACATTCTTTCAGATAGCCACCTGGCTTGCTCCCTTGCTGTGTTCAGATCTTGCTTCATTAGAGAGGCCTCCCGCTGCGACACTATCTAGAAATACAGTGCAAGAAGGATCATGGTGAACAGTATGTACAAAGTTCCCGAGGAGGGAGGAAGCGTGTTTAACCTTTTCCCACAGGATTGGAAGAAGGTCTGTGTTCCAGATCACAGATAGGGTAGCAGGTGTGGGGGAGAGGGTGGCGTAAGGTGAGCTTGAGAAGAAGCAGGAGACCACTCAGAGTTTTATTGTTAAGGACTTTGGTCTTCAGAAAAGAACACAGGGTGTCATGGGAGTCATAGAAGGATGACATCCCTTAGGATGAATGGTAGTGTTAGAGAACAAAGTGGAGATTAGGAGTCTTCAGGTAGAAGACATTGTGCTAGGAAAGGAACAGAAGCAAGATACGGCTTAGGATATGCCAGACCTAGGAGCCAAAAACACCGATGGCAGAAGTCAGACCCACCCATCTTGCCCTCAGGAGCTAAGGTGCACAGGAGCAGGTATCACAGAGCAGAATGTGGGAAAAATTATATTAGAGGTACACACACCCTATGTATGCTGCAATCAAACTGTCATCTCCTGTCCCTCTAACATGGCACACACTTTCTGTCTTTCCTTGGGTCTTGCTCATCCCCTTTCCTTTGCACAAGAGCTGCCTCCAGCAAGCCTTTGGAGCCCATCAGCTAGATGAGTTCTCATCTTCCACGGAGCCTCTTTGGCCTCTGTGCTTCTACAGCAGCACTCGCTTCCTTTTTCTGGCATGCCCTTCCCTCTGGTAAACTGCTGCTTTCCTAATATGTGACTTAAGTCTATCTTCCTTAGGCTGATCCTCTGACAATTGTGACCATCTTTTTAAATGTTGGTGCCCTGTCCAGCAATGATTGGTAGCTATAACCTCCTGTCATCCTCACAACCTCTCTATGAAGTAGATATTGTTTATATTTTATAGGTGAGGAAACAGATTCCGAGTTATTGGGTCCATGGAGTGTTAGAGTCTTAACTGAAACAATAGGCCATCATTCCAGAGCCTCATGTTCTTTCAATAATCCAGATGTTGGCAGCCGAAACTGGAGTGATTGTTACATGCTAGCTCCCTTTGGTTTTTTGCATGAAACTATTCATATGCTCAGGGGCAATGAGAATTCAGTATCCAAGAGCCCTGTCCTAATGCTAGGAGCTGTGCCGTGCCCTTGGTGTTAAGATGGTGCCTTCCTGGTATCTTTCTTAGGCCTTCAAAGTTCAGAGCTGCTCTGAATTTTATTTAAGCACAATGAAATAAAGTATGTTAGGGGCTGGATATACAGCTCAGTGGTAGAGCACTGGGTTCCATCCCCAGGACCAAACACACACACACAAAAAAAAAAAAAAAAAGAAAAAAGAAAAAAAGAAAGAAGTATGTTAGGATGCTCAATTACTATTGATGATCATAAATAGGTAAGGTTCTTTTGGAAAGTAGTTAGCAATATGGCTCAAGAGATTTAAAAATGGGGACCTAGTTATTGTACTGGTAGGTGGTTATCCTCAGGCTATCACCCCAAAGGTTTTCTCTACATAGACATTCCTTCTGTATTTCATAGATTTTTATAGTGAAATAAATGTACATAATCAGTAGACAAAGCAGATGCAGAGTAGTTTATCATGGCCTGAACCCATCTCAATCAGGATTCGGTGTACTTCCTGTATGAGGTGAATGTTGGGAATGAAGCATGAATCTTGCTAGGTGAAGAACTGTACGAGAGTGTTAACAGTGTTTGCCTTTATGTGATGATGGGTCTGAGTCATTTTTATTCTATTATTTCTACTTTCTTTTTTGTCCTCATATTTTCTGTAGTGATTTCATAGGACTTATTGGGGAAAATACTTGCTAAAGATTTTTGAACTTGAATCAAAGAAGAAAGGTTAGAGTGAGCTAAGCACCTTGCTAAGGACTTTGCTTGGGTAATATTCCTAACTCTCTCCAAATTCTCTAGAATAATTATTATTTAGAATAAATGTTATTCGCTTTACTGAACACTGAGGGTTTTAGAGGTTATTTTACTTAGGCTCATATAATTAGTCAGCATCTGAGCCAGGACTAAACTCCAAGCCTGACTCCAAATTCTCCTCCTCATCATTTTTCCATGTTAGATTSATTTCTAGGTGAGATTTTCTTCAAAGTTTGTTGCTGTTTTCTCAGACAGGGTCTGTAGCAAAGCTGAATTGTAACTACTTGTCTTTGAATGAAAAGCATAGCRTTCCTAGTGTGGGTAAGTTCTCAGAGGCCTTTCTGCTCTGCTTGATTTCAGAATTTGGTGATGCAGCCACTGCTCTAGTAGCAAACACAGATGCTACCACAATAAGCATTGAGGATCCTGATGAAACCCCGAAGCATCAACTAGGCCCTCCAAGAGGCTCAGGGAGAGAAGAGGATGATGAATTACTGGGAAATGATGACTCTGACAAAACTGAGGTTTGAACTTCCTCTGAATTTTTTTCCTTTTAATGTTTTTAAAGCTTGTTCTTCTATTTAGTCTCATCTACTGTGTGCCATGTACTGTGCTAGGTACTGGCGATGCAAAGGTAAATGACAGGTAGCCTCTGCCCTGGTGGGGGAAACAGACAGGTAAGTAGACCATTACCATCCATAGGAAGCACTGGTAGCGGGAACCTGGGCCTCGAAAGCAAAGAGAGTGGATTAGGGAAGAATTCTTAGAGGCAATGGYTCTTGCACCATCAGATGAAGGAAGAGGAGGTGGCCAGGGGAAGGAGGTGGGCAAAGTGACATCACAGAGATGTGAACATAGTGCAGATGGGAATGTCCTATTTTCACTGCATCAGGAGCAACACAGAGATCAAGGCAGGAGATGAGGCTACATAGATAGGCCAGGACTCCACACAGCCAGAACAAAGTGTATTCTGAAAACAGCTGGGAGCTACCAAACGATTGTAAGCAATATGACTAGATGTGTTTAAAGATATGTAAGATATGGTGGCCATGTGGGGAATGAATTGGAGAAAGTCGGACTAGAAGCCAGAAGACCAGGTAGGAGACAGTTAAAGTGGTCTAGATTAGAAGTGGTGACTTCTGAACTAGAGTTGGACACAGCTCTGTAAAGGTTGGGCTTAGTAGGGCATGCTGGGAAGGTTTGGTGAGGGAGTTGAGGTGAAGGGAGACCTCGAGATCTCCATCTAATTGGAGGTAAATCAACCTAGTGGCTGTTTTTAATCACAAAGATATATTTCCATGCATGTAGTTGGCATGTTTCAGGCAAGTAGTATTTATTTCAGTATGTTATAGACTGAATCATGATTGGACTGCTTCAGAGGTGTACTTATAGCAATGTGCTCATAGGGTTCTTATTATTAAGATTGTGTGGCTTGTGGGTACCAGATGCTCTTTCTGGAACTCCATGAAGTATCAAAATAAGTACTGAATTTTATGCTAAATTGAATGCTAATATATACCAAATATAGCAATGAAAACTTAAGAGCCTGAGTTCAGATCCTACCAATAGTTATATGGTCTTAGGAAGGGTACTGTAACTTCCTTAAGCCTGGATTTCCTCATCTGGAATATGAGAAAATAATCTGTTGGGCCTTGTCATCATATCATCACAATACCTAATATTTATTTAGGGTTTAGTGGATGCCAGCCTCCGTTTAAAGTTTGCATCATCTCATTTAGTCTTCCTAATGACCTGTTAACCAAGGGCTATTTTTATCTTCATTTTACAAATGAGAAACTTGAAACAAAGTTTAAGTAACTTGCGCAGACACACAAGTAGTAGGGAATACTTGGATCCTTAAACTAAGGCAGTCTAAGTCAGAGATGGTGTCTAGTTGCTAGACTGTACCAGAGGCAGAGTGTGTTAGGGCTTAAAGTGGTCGGCTCCCTCACACAAGGAATGGCTACGAGTACAGCTGAGTTGTTAGGATTCCCTAGAGAAAGAGACCAATAGGATGTGTATGTAGAGAGATTATTTTAAGGAATTGGCTTATGTGATTGTGGAGGCCTGGTGAATCCAAAACTAAGGAGGCTAGAGTTGTGGGAAGGAGTTGCAGTTCAGAGGCCAGCTGCAGGGGAATTCCCTTTTGCTGGGGCAGGGCTGGGATGGGTGGTAGGGTTGGGTTAGCCTTTTGTTTTAGTCAGGCCTTCTGAAGTCAAATCAATTTAAATGTAAATTTCATTCAAAAATACCCTTACAGAAACATCCAGAAGAATGTTTAACCAATATTTGGGCATCAAGGCATAGACAAATTGACACATAAAATTAACATCACATTGAGTAACAGCAGGCATCAACAATTAGGAAGAAATGTGGTTTGGGTTAAAAAAAAAGTCTTAAAATTAGAAAAATATTTACCCATTATATTAATTTTGTCTGTGAATTGAGAGGAGTTTACCAATATTTTTGTGACAGTGGTGGATTCCTTGCCTAGCTTATGAAAAATGGCTCTCCCTGGTCCACCTACACCTCTGCCATGTGAGTCCTCTGTAGATACCAGAGGATACCTGATTCCTAGTCTTGTGACTCCATCTGCCCCTGGAGAACAGTGCTGGAGGACAGGTGTGGCCCTCCTTATGGGCCTCCTCTAAACTGGAATTTTTGTTTTTGTCAAAGCATTAATATGTTTAGTATTTCAGAGTGAATCAGTATGTCAGATTTTTGAGAAATCAGGTGGTAATAGTAGTAAGAACCTTTTTTTTTTCTTCCTCAGTCCTAGGGATTGAAYCTGGGGCATTTTACCATTGAGCTACATCCCAGCCCTTATTATTTTTCTATTTTAATACAAGCACTATGTTGCTTAGGACCTTACTGGTTTGCCAAGGCTGGCCTCGAACTCGTGAACCTCCTGCCTCAGTTTTCTGAGTCAGTGGGATTATAGGCATGTGCCACTGTGCATGGCAGTAGTAAGGATCTTGAAAGATGGATGGCGGAGAAGACATTTATACTGACTGTTCTGTGTGTGTGTGTGTGTGTGTGTGTGTGTGTGTGTGTGTGTTATTGTATATAAAACATCTACAAGGTAGATCTTATTAGCTGTACCTTTTTTTTTTTAAATATACTTTTTTAGTTGTTGATGGACTTTTATTTTATTCATATTTATATGCGAATTGAGAGTTGAACCCAGTGCCTCTTGAGGCAAATGCTCTTCCACTGAGCCCCAGCCCCAGCCCATTATTAGCTATACTTTTTATACAAGGGAAGCAAGCTGGAGAGGGGTCTAGTGCTTCACCAAAGTTCCCCCAGTGGAGGGGCCAGATTTGAGAACTTTAGGCGAGATTTCAAAATTGATGCTTGTTTCTCTGTGGGGCCGGGAGTGGGGCATTGGCTGTTGTGGGCCTCATTCACTGACTGCTGAAGAGCCTGGTATTTTCCTGCATTTTGGTTTCTTACTGGGTCAGGGCCCTCTCCCTCTGCACAGCTGCAACTAGGGAATTGCTTCTGTCTTCATTGCGTTTCACTTTACCTCTGACAGCTACTTGCTGGACAGAAGAAAAGCTCTCCCTTCTGGACATTTGAATACTATCAAACATTCTTTGATGTGGACACTTACCAGGTTTGTAAACAGTTTACCCTTACTTTTATGTAATGGAGATTTGTTTCTTTTGTGATTAAACAGTCAAATCAGGCAAAAGCCTTTCTGTACTGGAAGTGGTCTTAGAAAAATAAAGTGTTACTAGCATGTGAAAATACTATCATAAAAATCCAAATAAYTGAGTTTTAGTTTTGTAGTTGTTGAATTTATTAAAATTCTAACAAAAAAAAATCTTAAGTAGAATTACTGCTGTGTTGTTTTCCAGGTCTTTGACAGAATAAAAGGGTCTCTTTTGCCAATACCTGGAAAAAACTTCGTGAGGTTATATATCCGCAGCAATCCAGATCTCTATGGTATGTGTAGTGCCATTTAAAAAAAAATTTTTTTTTTTGGTTGTAGATGGATCCAATACTTTTATTTTATTTATTTATTTTTGTGTGGCGCTAAGGATTGAACCCAGTGCTTCACACATGCTAGGCAAGCACTCTGCCACTGAGCCACAACCACAGCCCTGTAGTGCTATTTTGATTCTTTACCACATTCCAGTTAAATTGGGCAAAGGTGTGGGTCATCTAGAAAGTTGGAGACTTGGGGCTGGAGATGTGGCTCAAGCGGTAGCTCGCTGGCCTTGCATGCGTGCGGCCCGGGTTCGATCCTCAGYACCACATACAAACAAAGGTGTTATGTCCGCCGAATACTAAAAAAAAATAAATAAATATTAAAAAAAAAAAAGAAAGTTGGAGACTTGCACTGTTTTGGGGTGTACAATGTTTTGATTGATTCTTCTGAGATTCAGTAATAACCCCCGCAAAGAATTTAGGGAGAAATGCAATTATGTGTCATATTAATGCCAGGATTATGTCCTTTCAGAACTATGCTCTTCAGATGACATTATAGTCCTGAGACAAATGAAGTCACTTTGTCTAAGAGGAGACTGTTGATTCTACTMTTTGTATTTGGTGACATTGGGGAGAGTGTGGAGAAGGTATTCTCATACTTTTCATTAATGTGCTGAGTTCTCGCTCTGCTTTCAGATGAGCTGGCTCCCTTTGGGATTTGGTCACCAGCACGGAAAGTGAGAAACAGGAATGAGTCAGGGAACAGCTGTCATCCCTGACCCCCTTGCTGTCTGAGAAAAACTCTGAGGTCCACACAACCTGAGGAGAGGGTTCAAGCATAGTGGACTTCTGTGTTTGAGGGATGAAGGAAGCCAACAGCTCTGATCGATTTGTGTGGTAGGGGCTAGACCAGAGACCTTGTGTGCTTGGTCGTATTTCAATCTTGCAATCACATCTTGTATAGTATCCCCACTTTTTCAATGACGAAGCTGGTGTTCAAAGAAGTTTATTAATATATATGCTCAAGTCCTAAACAAGAAACAGTAAAGTAATTATGTATGTTCATTATAATAGGCAAAGGAATTCATGGGAATCTACCGTGTGACAAGCATTGCACACACTCTAATTCTTACAAGATTGTACATTAAGTGCTATTATCTCTATGTAACTTGAAGAAACTACAGCTAGGAGTTGTTGATCTAATGAAGTAGAACTGGAACCAAGTTTATTACATAAAACCCGTATTGTAGTAAACTGGTGATCTTACATTCTAGACTCTTTTCATCAAGTTGTGGGAATATCCAGTATCTAAAACCAAAAACTGCTCTTGTGGAGGTTGGAAGGCTCTCTTCTCTCAGCCTGTGCTCCCTATGACATTTCCAGAAATTTCTAGAAGTTCCTCCTTGGGATTTCTTTTTTTTTTTTTTTTATTGTTGATCGTTCAAAACATTACATAGTTCTTAATATATCATATGTCACAGTTTGATTCCAGTGGGTTATGAACTCCCAATTTTACCCCGAATACAGATTACTGTATCACATCAGTTACACTTCCATTGATTTACATATTGCCATTCTAGTGTCTGATGTATTCTGCTTTCTATCCTATTCTCTACTATCTCCCCTCCCCTCCCCTCTCCTCCCCTCCCCTTTTCTCTCTCTACCCCCTCTACTGTAAATCATTTCTTCCACTTGTATTA